GTTGTTGCACGGTACTGCGCGCTGTTTTCACACTGTCGCACGTTGCCTGCACGGTGTTTGCACGGAGTTGGTGAGACAAGACAGATAATAACGGCCGCGGAACGACTGTTACCGTAACCCGTGGCCGCACTCCAACATGCCGGCGAAGCGCGCTCCGGCCAGTTCGACACGCTGCCACATTCACCCTTCTACAGCTCAGGTGCTCCGTACAATGGACGGGCTCCGTATCGTCCACACTGTCGTCGTGGAGTGCGCAGAAAAACGACAAAAGAGGCATGCCGAATGCCACGTGGCATCGATTTGTTGCGGCGGCGGATTACGGTAACAGCCGTTCCTGCGGCCTCTTGTTATCCGTCTAATGTTGGTGAGCGGGTCGGCTTCGGTGGTGTGCTGATCTATGTTTTGTACTTCTTTGGCCTGATCCATCTATCTCAAAACTTATCAGCTCTCCAGGTGAACCTTTAGGTAGTACTGAATTCCGTAACAGATCCGACAGACAGACGAAGAGGTTTATAGTAAGTAGGATATTCCCGTTATAATCTTTGCCCACTGTCCCTTCGTCGATCAGTGAGCATTCCGAGTGTTGGTGACGTTTTGAGTAATTCTTCAGCGCTTTATCAAATATCTAACAGCGCACATTCTGATGCGACAGCGGAAGTAAGCAAACCAGCCCTTTTGGCGTTTCTGCTGGGGCCGTATGCTGAATGTTGGGGAGGGGATGGGGTCCCCGACGGTCGACGGACTACTTCAACTCGGTCCTTAAAACCGCCTCAATTTGATGCTTACCTCAGGACTAAGCCTTAAAGAGAGGACGGACCTGCGAGAGAGCGCAGGTCCGTCCTCTCTCCAAGGCTTAGTCCTGGGGTAAGCAAACCAGCCCTTTTGCTGGACCAGCTGCACCACTTGCGTCATTACTCTCCTATCGTACCGACCGAGTTGAAGTAGTCCGTCGACCGTTGGGGACCCCATCCCCTCCCCAACATTCAGCATACGGTCCAGCAGAAACGCCAAAAGGGCTGGTTTGCTTACCTCCGAAGCGCCGCACGGTGTCTGTTTGAGCTGGTTTCTCCCTTTTCTACCACCTACCAGTCCTTTTACAGTTACCTCGGCTGTCATGACCGTTGCCTTTAGAAGTATCTTCATCATATTTTGAGACTTTTTTCCAATTTTTCAGGCTAATGACTTTCGATTTTTCAGTGCATTTTAGTTAACTGTAAGCAGTAACACTCACCAATAGCTGTAAAAGTAGGCGAATGCTATTCCATTAGGGCTGGGTCCTATATTTCTGCGTTTGGTGAAGATTTGGGCGCTAATCATCAAAAGATTAGCATATGCAAGCGATTTCATTAACCATATAATTTGGCTGATACATATCCGTTCGTTTGACCTGGTAACGCCGTTTGTCAGCCTAAGGACAAGCGAAGGAACCTCTCAAGCTTCACCTGTAAGTGAGTCCTTGCTCCATCCATTGTACTTGATTGTTGATCCAAGTATGGCATGCCGATGTGTTTGGTGTGATGCATATCCGTCTGTCTTCACTTGACAGTTCAGTAGTGAGTTTATTCGGTGAAGCACTAAGAGCATAATACATGTCCGCTTAAAGTTGGGCCGGTTACTTATGGTTGTTTCCGGTTCTTAAGTCGCTTTCTGGCTAATCAGTTTTAGTTTCCGATTTTCCGACTGTACCCAGGATGCTGCCGGTAACGAAAACGTTAAATGGCCCGAATCAAGTAGTGAAGTAAACGACGAGAAGCCGGGGCCACTTCGTAAATAATCGAGGACCAGAACCGTCCTGCAAAGCTGGCAGGAAACCAAGGATAAGGAAATCAGTTTCTTAAGGTGACGCGATTCATCCCCCATTTCGACGAATTCACCAGTGGTCAAAAGAAATGCCTGGGGGTTCTTGAAGAAAAACTGAGAGAAGATCTAAGAAAATCGATTTAACGCTCTCGGCCCTGGCGGTGGCAATTGCCACCAGCAAATTCAAATTTCTGTTTTACCGCTGCAACAGCATATTTTTTTCTAATCCTGCTAGAGGTTGCTTCAGTCAACCTTCCCCTTCCTAATTATGAGCTAAACCTGCCATTTTTCATTGTGTGTTGCTGTTAGTATTACAAGTATTTGTGTACAAGTGCAACAATGAATCGGCGCTGGTCCCCGCAACCGGCCAAGTAAGTGTCACTTTTTCTTAAAATACTTGAAGTAGATCCATTCTTTAATCAAAATTATGGGTTATAATGTTGTGCAAGATTATAAACTTTTTCGGCATAACTATGAAATTTGGAATTGTTTCGACATAAGCTTAAAAACTAAGAAGGTGGGCCAATTTTCAAAGCTTCTTAGTTTCTTTGTTTGTGATCGAATAGCTTCCAAATTTCGCCATAATGATACCTATATGCTCACAAGTAATAAACAATAGCTAGAAGAAAAATTTCTCCACGGGGAAAAATTCAGGTCCGAAAGTTTAAGCAGAACCCGATTTGACATAGACTGCCGTCCGAATTTACCCAGCTTAATTCTCCAGTCACGACCTCATCACTCCTCGCACCTCATCATTGCGTTCATACTCGTTAAATAAAAGCGTTTTGAGAAAATCAGAGTGTACGGCAACATGGAAGAGATATGACTCGATCAGTAGAGATCCTTCCTCGTTTTTACTTCCTTAACGTGTTGTACTTATTTTATCATTCTAGTACATCCAAATATGCCGCAAAAAAGGTACTATGGCGAGCTCTGGAATAAGCAAACGCCAAACAGCGTTCATAGTTGGCGATCGAATAGGTAATTGGGCAAGGGGTAATGGAACGTTCAAAGTTGGCGGTCGTACGTGCAATTAGACGATTAAGGCATCGCATCTAATGGCGGACAAACAAATCGATACGTATCCCTTTCCTTATCGCCTACTCGCCTACTCGTCTGATCGCCCAACGAGGCAGCGTTCAGAGTTGACGATCATACATGCGATGACGATTGGGCGATCATGCGATGATTTGAAAAGAAAGCATGCGTATCGATTGGGCTATCGGCGAGTATGCAATTCGGCGAATAGGCGATTGGTCGAGCGGGCGATAAAAGATGAATACGTATCGATTTGCTTGCTCCGTCCATTGGGCGACCGCCTACTCGCCTACTCGCCTTATCGCCTCTGCCTGATCGATAGATATCACTTCTTCTTACAGACTAATCGCATAACCGAACGTAAGATCGCCAACTCTGAACGCTCCGCTTCTGAAATCCCTTGCAAGCATAGCAACTTGTCACAGCAGCGCCAATGCCACAGTCGCGATCGGCGATCAAAATGGAAATCGAATACATGGCGCATTCAGAAGATGTGTTAGACCTCTTCGCATAGACGACGGGCCCTACTGAGTTACACCAGCGCCCATGAAACATGTGCGCTGTGTTTTGTGGGCATACGCTATCCCCCTCCGCGAGGTTTGCCCATGTACAATGGGGAGTGCGGCATAGATACTACGTAAAGCATACGCAGGGAAGGAGGACTCGGCGGTTATAAGGGGGGGAGGGGGGGGGGGGGGGAGTCAAAAACTAGACGGATAGGAGACGATGAAAGAAATTGCGAAATAATTCCATCGATGGCCAGCATGGCTTTCCCTGTGGCCCTGTGGTCTGGAACGCCGTCGAGTTTCAGCTGATGGGGTTCAGACCAACAGGGCCGCAGGAGAACGAAGCCGTGCTTCATGCCGGGGCTATGTTCCTTCGTAGTGCGAATTGCGCGTCGTTCTGCACCCTTATGGAGTCCGCCTGCTTCTTCACTAGGTAGTTTTTCCTTCATCTACCTTCGTGAAATCCTCCTTTGATTCGACTACTTCGTATCTAATCTATCTCACTTTACGTTTTCGTCCACGTGGCAATCAATATGTATCTCATACATGGACGAAAATGGTCAATTCACCCGTTTCCTCCCCTTAATCAGCACAAATGGAGCCTCCCGAACGAGAATGTCATCTTTACGATTCAGCTTGAAGCACTCACATATTTTCGCGCAACCTCCTATTCGTTTTCACATAACAGCAGACCATGGTCATGCACCACTGCATAGCGAGCGTGGGTGAGTAAAAATGAAAGCAATGATACTAAAGGTAGTGATTTACAACGATTGATAGCGGTGCTAAGCTGGGAACATTCAAAGCCATGTTAAACCAAATTTTGTTAAAAAAGGGTAACAGAGCTTCAAGGCCGGGATCCGATGAGCCGATTTTCGACTTCCCCGAAAGTTACTACACCCTCCTGGGCTTGATGCTAGGAGACGTCCTTATCTTCCGATAGTGCCGAGATCCCTCCGTCCAAGCTAAGTTGTTTATATGGAACGTTCTGCTAAACATTTATCCTTTAAAGACACGAGTAGGGATCGAACTGGTGTTATTATTCTTAAAAACAAAAAAACGCCATAGAAAACACCAATTTCCTCCTGCGAGGCGCGGCCGTGTAGAATGGCGGACCTAAAAGTGGCTGCGAGAGAGGCGAAAACACGAGAGGTACGTGGTACGGGGAAGAACGCCACCGCAAGCGTGGCCACGATTTGAGCGGTGCCAGCACCGGCAGCGTTACCAAGCGAAGGCTTTCCGTCCCTGCTGCTCACTTAGAGCGCGGCACTCGTCGTGACTCTGGGTTGAGAGCCCTCCTTCTCCCCTCAGGAGGGTAACGCATCTGCTCTTGATATCTGATACCGTTCTTTATACCATTATGACAGCTTTAGCGTAGTCAAAAACATGCATTACATGTATAACGCAAGCCGAAGGAGGATTAAATTTTGGAGCAAGTCCATTTTCAAAAGAGGTGAAGTATATGTCTCCATGAAATTTCAGAAGCGCGGTGGCGTCTTGTGAAGCACATAACCCAACTCCCAATAGAATTTGCCGATTTTCAGCGGAAGTTCCAAGTCCGGTAGCCCATCCCAACCTCCCGGCCGATGACGCTTCTCTGTCAACACATTACAGGTTAGAATAATCAATAATTTATTTTATATAAAACTATTTGTATTACAGTTTACTTTTCGCGCCCATGATAGGCAGTACTCTCTTGTTGGTGTGTTGGCCAGTCTTCGGAGCCTCAATCGCCAATTTCCCACCATCCATCAGCTGAGTGTGCACCGCGTCGAGGTCGACGTCATCCGGGAGAGCCCACTTGCGGACGAAGGACCTGAAAAGGCAGTTATCAGCAAACTTTAGACCCCGTTCCCAGCAACTAAGGGCTAGGAGATGCCTCGGACATAGCCTGTAGTGTAAGGCCGTGGTCGGTCTTCAGCTCCTGATGTCCTTCGATGGTGAGATCCCTTCCATCGATGTGAACTTTCAGCTCCTCGGGTTTGAACTGCGACACATCAAGTGCTACAGCGACCCACTTCTTTGTATGTTTCACCACTGAAAAACAGGCTTTCAAAAATGACAGGGGCTTGATCTCAGCAAAGGTGCACCTCATGAGGCCTCGTGGCAATTTTTAAGATTGATGTTCTTTCTCTTCTCCCAAGTAGTGCTGCATTTCGTGCCCCAATCGGCGCTCCATCTGGCGCTCAAAGCGGTCCACGTCGCGCATAACTCTATAGGGATCCATCATATCCCTCTCGATTTCGTGCATGAGGTTTCCGACACGACGAGTAGGCCAGAGCGCCATTATGCCTATTGACTTCCCTGAAAAAACCACCATAAAACCCCAGATGGCTGCTTGCACTATTGTACCGCTTATTAACGGAAGCCAAAAACGGAGGAGCTGCTGAACGCAATCGAGGCTACCGTAATCGCCCAAAAAATAGTTCACAAGAGAGAATAGAGTAAGAGTAGGATTCCGTTCACAACGGACCGAATCCTTGGAAGATCTGAGCAGAAGACGAGGTCGCACAGAAACAGCCGAGGACACAGCACGCACCGAAGACGACGAGAGAAGTAGTCTGAGGACCCGGACCCTCTCCAGCGTATTTATAGCAGAAAAAGTGATCTTCTAGAAGTTTCCAGACCACGAAGATCCTAAGGGGATCGATCCTTGACCCAGGCGAAATGCTGTCTTGATCGCTGCAAAAGCCATTTTCCGGGCAGGGACCACAAAGAAAGAATCTTCTGCGATGTCCCCAATTAGGGTGAGGGACATGGGGCAAAGCCGACCGCCAAACAGCTTCAAACGAAAGTTAGAAGAACCTGTACAAAAATAGATCTCTACGGGTTTGATCCCAATACGATCGCTGGGTCCCGCCGTTTTTCTTCATCGATTCTGTTTCTTCCAAGTCCAAAGTCCTTACCAGTGGATCACTTCTGTGGTACTAACATTAAGTTGTTTAGGACTAAACTTGTTGACTTTCAGGAATAATCTCTGCATTTCAGTATCGATTTCAGCTGCTATAAGAAGCCCTAGGGGAAGCATTATGTACCAAAATCGTTTTGGTGTAGGATATCAAGTGCACGAAATATCAAAGCTTCCCATATCGATTTTTCATTGTTTTTTTTTTCCAAAAAGAACCATATTATCAGATGTTTTGTGCTGTTCTTTGATGAGTTTGGGCCATAAAGTTTTTTAGCTTTGACTTTATGAGGTCCAAAAAGCTATTTGGAATCATTGTTGTAAAATCACTACAGTAATCCTGGGTCCGATCACCTTATTACAACCGACTGGTTAGGGATTCATCAGCAGTTCCATTGATCTTCTATGCAATCAGGTCTAAATGATCGATTAGCGCTAAAGCTTGAGGATATCCCATCCCTGCGGTGTGAGTCAAGTGCAACCAGGCTTGAGAGAATAGGGCAGAACTCCTGTGCATAGATCTGGTAAGTGATGGAAACACCCTCAACGATTTTGCAGGGACGTCGAGTGCACGGCGCATCTCATTGCTCTTCACAAAACCCTGCATTTGTGAGCGGTTAACAAACAGGTGTTCGCCTTCTCCCAGAGAACACTTTGCGGGACCACTGAACTATGTATTCTGACGGTTTCTTGCCCCTTCACTTTATGAGGCGAACAGCTCGTGACAGAGCCACTAGAAGAAACTGCCTTAGCCTTGTTCTAATGAACAGGAACACACGAGGTTGGTAAAAGAGCCTTTTCGGCTAACTTTTCGGCGGGTTCGCCTTCGTCAGAGCCTGCAGTAAGTCTAGCCAATTTAAGAGAACCCTGAAAGAGATTTCGTTTGCAAGAATGGAGTTAGATCTTCGAAAACCGGCGCTATCACAATATCCATTGGCATCCTTCAAGACTAAGCCTTGAAGTGGGAAGAACTTCGGGGAAAATGAAAATCGCTCATGCACCCCAGAGTCTCTAATCTCTTACGTAAGGCTCAGTCCTAATTTCAACAAAAAGGATATGTTTCACGCGATTTATAGTGCCGTATACGTAGCAGTTAAAAAGTGTTCGCTCGAAACGGATTTTTAGAGCATAATTTTTCTCGCCTGGAGCAACGCCGCTCTCAAGATGGAAAATACTTGTTTTTTAGTGTTTTTATCTCTTCAAATTTTAATGAATCTCAGAAGAAAAAATTTTGAGTCACATTGATTCTCGTTCTGGCGAAAAAAGAAGAGCACGAAAACCGTTCAGGCGAACCTTTTTGACCGTGACACACTTTTCATTCCAAGCTGCATTCAGAATCCCAATGACGTATTCTGCCTAGTCAGTGACCGTCGAGCCCAGCCAGATGTGTATGTGAGTGTGTAACAGCAGACTGTTTCACAAGAATGCCTGGTTGTGAACAAAACTTTCGCCCCAGGCGGGACATGAACCTGCACCCCTCGCTATTGAATTAGAACATTCGCCAAGGCGACTCATGGCGGCATAAGACATGCCAGTTAAAAAACAAAAACAAGTCAAAATATCAGCAGACCATCCTCTGAGTGATGTACGGTTGGGTATACAGGATTGAGTGCGATCTGTAGACTATACAGGGGGGGGGGCAAAAAAAGCACTCTTACTCACATTCAAAACAGAATTAATTACACTTTGCCAAAACCAAACCGAATGAGCTCAATTGCATATTGAAGAGCACATTCTATTCTATCAAAAACATTGCATAGTGGCCTTCTACACCGACGACATCAGAAGATTTTCCCACGGAAACATGGTTCGCGGTACGAGCTCAACGGGGTCGTCGAGAAACCATAGATGATTACGACGTCTCTGAAACGCTGGTCAAAAGCCATTTTGCATAGTCAGAGCTAGTGTCTCTAAGAAGTCATTCACCAGTTATCCGATTGAAGAACTTATGTAGCAGCTTCAGAATGGAGCGATTATGGTAGGCCTCCTTGAGCTCGACGGTGATGACAGATGACGTCATATTCTGGAGACGGTGAAGGCAGCGAAGGTGGGCCTGATTCTGCTTATGGGGGGACATCTAAGGAATAATTCGCCGTATAACTCCCAATAACAGCGGCATCCTTTGCGACGAAAAGTTTGATGATATGCGCCATGGCAAAGTGACTCTTTTTTTGCCCCCCCCCCCCCCCTAATTTATAATTGCGGCATTATTAGTCATTTCTTCTTCCTGCCCTCAATCCTCAATTGCGAAAAAAAATCGGTAACGCCCTGGAAAACGAAGAAGTGTTCGCTTTTCACAAAGCTGGCGAACCTTGAGCAGCAAATAAATGAGTAGTTTGCAGAGTATTTGCGTTGCTATCCACTCCTCAACCCACACACGTCGTAAATATCAGTTACGTGATTTCTTCCGGTGATGACAGAGATCGGCGATCAGTTACAAGTTTGCTGATGACATCCGCACTGAGCAAATATGCTATTTTTGTCCATAACACGAGATTTTGTTTGTACAGGATGTGGTAATCATTGGAAGGCACGAAGAAGTCAGAGATCCCTGTGATAAGAACGTTAGTAAAATCTGAAAAGTTGGATGATTTATCAAAGAAGAGAGAGTAGCTCTACCCGAAATCCGCCACGATCGGCTTTTCAGAAAGGCAGGTTACATCAGAAGCGTTAAAATGTAGCCCATTTTTTTGCCATTCTGTGCCATCTTTGCTGGTTGGAGCATTGCCGTAGACACCAGTGTTTTGTTCTGAATCCGTAATAACTTCGTA